AATTGCCTCCCTGGAATCAGGGTATTCCTCACCACAAAAACTCTCTCATCTTTAAAAAAGTGTCAATGTTAACAAAACTGGTTAAAAACTATGGGTTTGGACGCTGGACTAATGTAGAGGATAATTGGCATGTTCACAGAGGCATCACAGACGGGGAGTTTCCAGAGCAGCCTCCAGCCTTTCCATTTGCTACGTATTCCGGGATTTTTCTTTAATGAATAGTGATCTCTTTGAAAGGATATAAAACATGGATTTCTTTTCTTCCAAAACATAAAAAGAGACTTAATAGAGTATCAAACAATTCTTGAAGCCTAAGGTAACACATCTGCAGTACCTCTGCTTTTGGGAAGACATGGTTCTATCGCTGTGGAGCTCCGCAAATCCGCTTTCAAAATACACTGCATACAAAATAACTCGCAGAGACTTAAATACGTTAATAACTTAAGACCCTAAATAAGCTGATATTTGATGTGACCTACATTAATGGGGAGGCACTATATGGCAGATAAGCAGAAAGTTCTCATCTATTGTATAATGCATGATTTATTCATACCATAAACATATTGAGAAAAGGATGTGCTCCAGCATTCTGTCTACTTATTTTTCCCACAGAAAAAAAAAATTATGTAAGAAGATCATGCTGGTGAGAAGATATTCATATCACAACAGCCACAGACTTAGTGGCAGGGCTGCCAGAGACTTCTTTATGGTTGGAAAGATATAGAGAAAAGCACATAGGTTGCGCTGCAGTGCACCCGTAATTCTAACTACCAGCCTAGGAGTGGAAGCAGTTCATAGAAGAGGCTAATGGCTTTACCCTGACTGATACCATTGCATTAATAAAAATCATCAATAAAAGCATCAGTTCCTGCTGTACTGTAAATGAGACAGGGGCTGAGTGTGCACTGCAGCTGTGAGATAAGGCACTAGGAAGATATCTAAATTTTTGGCTAATTCTAGATGTCAAGATAATTGGATTTTCCAAATTAAACCTTTCTGTAGTTAAAGAGGATTAAGGTTAGGGAGTGTGGCAGGGAAAGCTACTGTCACTGTTATGATGACTTTTTCACTACAGTGCCATTTTTCTTCTCCTATGTCTCTCTAAGCAGGCAAATTTCAAGAGCTTCTTAAAAATATTGAAGTAGTTACATCATTTGCCATCAAAAGTTGTCATGGGAAAGGTTTGCTTCTTGTGCATCTACCTATTCATTTTATGAGTTCTTAGCAGAATTTTATTAAGTGTTGACTCACAGAATTACAGACTGGTTTGGGTTAAAATGTACGTTAAAGATCATCTTGTTCCAACCCCCCTGCCATGGGCAGGGACACCTTCCACTATCCGAGGTTGCTCCAAACCCTGTTTAACCTGGCCTTGAACACTCCCAGGGATGGGGCAGCCACAGCTTCTCTGGGCACACTGTGCCAGGGCCTCACCATCCTCACAGGGAATAAAACCTTGGATATTGCATAGCCAAGGTGCTCAGAGAAGAGTATGAGGTGGGATTGGGTCAAATATATATTTAAAACCTTTTGCAAAGCAAAGTTTGTTGTTGATGAAGGGGTTTTGGCTTTTTATGTGTCATGATAGCAATGTACATCCCTCAAACCCCTATTTGAGGCATCCCTCAAGCTTGTGCTTTGTGAAGGAATTAATTGGTATTTTAATAGAAGTGCTGACAATATAAATACTCCTTGAGACACTTTGTCTCCAGATGGTTTCTCTGCAGACTTTCTCTGATTCCCCACACTTCCAAAACAGGGATATAAACCTCCTGACATTGCAGAGCATGAGTCAGTCCCATAAATACAAAAAGAAATCTTTCCTATCACCAGATTACTCTGCAGCCTCTTCTTAAACGAGTTTTTGCATATTTTCTGAAGCTGGATTCTGTCCACTACTGAGGTAAATCACCAAAATCAGTAGCCTCATGTCATCGTCCTTACATTATAATACAGTGCTAGAGGAGTTCTTTCTTCCATTTTAAGGTCACTTCAAGGACTTCACATTTTCTAACTCTGCCTGAACAAAGGGCTGGAGTGTAACACCACGTGACGAGATATCACTGCAGAGATCACTTGCAAGATCCACAAAAAAATAAAACCCCAAATCATCTTTCTTTATCATTTTATCAGTTTAGCAGCTGCCCCCACACTCATGAGAGAGCCTGACACTTCTTCCACTCCAAGGGCAGAACAGCAATATCCTCCCTGGTGTATCTGACAGGACGTTGTAGAAAGGAGCCTTCCAATGCAAGGACATCAAAACACATGAAAATGGGAAAAAACAATTGTTCTACCCACTTTTGCAAGGACTTCCCTGAAAGTCCATTGAGCCCTTCCAATCCTCTCCACACTGTGACTGTATCTTGAGTAACTGCACAGTGTACAGCACAGGAAATGTTCTGTAGGCATCCCTGTTTCCTGGATATGTTGCCAGATATTCATCCACAGTGATGGACTTCACTGCATAAAGGCTTAAGGAGAAAAATCTTTTGGGATTTCATCATAAAAAGTTTTGTCCTCAAAAGTTTTTACAGGCTGAAGTTTCATATCTTTAAAGACTTTACCCCATAAAAATCCAAGAGGATAGTAAAACAAATAGTGGCTATGTCCAGGGTCACTAGCCTGGGGAAAATAAATGCTCTTGGGTGATAATAAGAATACCTTCAGGAACAGTATGGACCAGAAATTGAATCTGTTCTTTTCTCCACTGGCTGACGTTTTATCATTATAGCCCTTGGAGCTGGTCACTATTTTCTGTGCAGAGTAGCCATGGGCACATGGCAATGCAGAGATACCATAGGTGTGACTTTGAGCTGTTCTTGAGGATGATAAACCCAAAAATGAACTTTGCAAGCAGAATACAGAACTTGTCTGGTCCAGCCGCTCACTTTTTCATCTTCCTCATTACACTTATTTTAAGTCTGAAGTGAATGGATGCACCCCAAAAACACATTCACATGCTCCTATCAATCCAGATTAGGAAAGGGCTGCCAAGATATAGAAAATAAGCAGAATACCCAACATCTCACACAAAATAAGGCTGGCCTAACTCTGTGCCTATATTTACATGTGAAATTCAGCAAAACTTGAACCAGCAAGCCTCTGCCTTTTAAAAATTGTACCTTGGAAAGTCAGATTGGTGGCATTGTTTGCCTGCTGATCCTCTAAGGGCCCTGAACAACAAGATAATTAAAGTCCACAGAAATAAGAAAACCTAAAATCACTTTCCTGTGAATCAGTGCGGACTGGTAAGTATTCCCACAGGAAGGAACGGGCATGGATCCGTTTGTGTGTCCCCAAAGCTCTTGGCAGGAGGACACACTTGCTATTTTCTGGTCTGATACCTCCAGATCTGTGGCATTGACCATGGATAACACCGTTGTGCCCATGGATAACATGGTTGTGCCCAGGGAAAGCTGGAACTTCTCCTCACCTGGGCGGAATGTTATTATTGCCCTAGGTGGTCATGATACTATTACACACATTTGAGGCTTGTTAATTCTCCAGGGCTAAACTGGCCACTCCAGACTGCTTCCATTCCAATAAATACAGGATAATGGGCTGACTAAATATAGGTTTCTAAAATATAAACAGATCCCCAGTGATACCCTCGAGATCCAGGCAGAGTATTCAGTGTAAGAGCACTCAGGGTGCACGTGTGGCAGCCTATCCCAAAATATACTCAAAACAATTATAGCTTTTCTATGGTATTTCTGCACAACCCATACCAATAAACAGGATGGAAATAAACTGGCATAAGACCATATCAGAAGTTCTGTTGTCTAAATCCATTTGAGAGAAAGACACAGATACTTAACTAATTGGCACTCTCAGCCTTCCATTCTGGCTTGGTGGGAACAGTCATCAGCTAAATCAGTGACTCATGGAGGCACACTGTGTCTTGGATAATTTTACATAGGTGGAGGATAGACTGGAGAACAAATATGAGGGCTTGTCAATAAAACACCAAGCTGGACCCCTAGTGATGCCTTCTGTGAATCAGTTCAGTGGATGAGGGGATCTGGGAGATTCAGACACCCTGTAAAAATGCATATATCTTTTCATGTCATGCTTTTCTGACGATCTCTATTAACTTTGTGTTAGCCCTGTCACTATTAACCAGGTTTATGCTTCTGCCAAGATACATTAATGAAGCCTTGCGGTTCCCCCAGTTTTCAGAAAGCAATGCCCACCTCAAGAAGACAAAACTGTTGTTATCAGCAGATGCAGCCACAGCAGCACTGAACAGGGTCTTAAGCCAAAGCCCAGCCCAGGAGGAGCTGCAGCTCAGCCTCCCTTGTCCTGCTGGATAATAGGGCCGAGCAAGGCTATTCCCAGTCTGGCAGCTCCTCCTGGCAGCTCCAGCACCAGTTCATTGGGGTCCGCTGAGTGTGAAATCCACCTCTCCACATCACACCAGCACAATGCATCATTTAAGTCATTTTTAAGGGATGAAAAGGTTCATAAGCTTCACATTGCCCTCTGCACAGGAGTGAATTTTACTCTTAATGCAAACGGTGCTTAAATGCAATATTTTAAGACTAATATTCCGTACAGGCACAGTGTCTGATTCATGCCAACCCAAGGGGTAATGTGAATGCTTAGCATTGTTTAACCAACTCCCAAGGACTGAATAAAACCCTCAGATGAAAGCTGTGACCTTCAGAGAGCATGGAATCACTTTTTCTTTTCATCTAAAAGATAATTTAGCTAATACTTTTCTCCTCATTGAGGACATGGGCTCACTGCACTGAAAACTGTTTACAAATGTTCTTTCTCCATTAAATTGATTTTCTGAGTATAGAAAGGCAGTGTTTTCTGGAACTAATTTAAATTCCCCTCTAATTAATATTCAAGATCAAAATATGTTATCTTTGCATGACTGTGCAATTATTAAAGGGAAAATATCATCAGAGAAAGTGTGGGGGGGGTTATTTTATTTTTTTTGACTAACCATTTCCTCATATGAAATGTATAATTTCTTTGCCTTTTTTTAGGCTATAATTCAAGAAGCTTTCAAGAGAGAAATATCTTTTCTGGCTATGTACAAACCATTTGTGAAAGGAGATGAGAGCGCCAAAATAAAGGAGGCAGACAAAACCTTTGCTAAAAAAGCACTCTGATTACATGCAGCACATATTTACAGGTAACTGCAGATTTCACATGCTCTTAAGCACTGTGTGTTGTTTGTGTGCGTGTCTGACTTAAAAAGAGGTTGAGAGACTCTGAAGCTTGAGGTCCAGACATTTCTACACTTCCGGGGGGGAAAACTGTCTTCTGAGATCTGCTCTGTGATTGTCTGTGATTTAGGTAATGGAACGAGTACTCAGGCAAAGTACAGACTTTATACTGCAAATCCCCATAAATATAATTTTTATCCGGGAAGCGCCATATTTCCATTGTTGGATTTCATTATTGCAGTTAATCTTTTGTTCAGAGGTAGGTTTGCAAGTGTATTGTGGTGACAGGGATGCTCAAGCTCATTCCCACCCCCATGGATTTGCATGACCACCGATGGTCACACCTGCAGCAGGGCCCTCCCTATCCAAAATTACCTTTGCCTTTTATGAGCTCTACTGGGCTGACCACCACCTTTGAGAGCATCTCAGCTGCATGGATGGGAATGGACAGCCAGGTTTCCTTTAGCCTGTTGACGACAAGTAGGGCGCAGAGTGAAAAAGGGCTTTATCAGAGTCTGTTATCGTCTCCCAGCATTGTGAAATCAAATGTCATCTCCTGGTACAAACACATGCCTAAATTCTGGTGATCTTGGGCTTGTTTCAAGCAGAATGGACATGACATTTTGGCAAAAGAGAGCCAGGAGGATAAAAGGCATTTCTTCCTGTCATTAACCTGGTGATTTGGAACACAGTTGACCCTGATAATGCTTGGCTTTGAGTTGGTGATTGAGAAACATAAAGGGAAAAGTACATTTCCCACGTCAAATTCTGGAAAGCCTCTATTTTTGTCACACAAACTGGCTGTGTAGCTCACCTCCCACTGCCACTGCCAACACAGCCATCCAAAAGGCTGAGAGGCTTCCTGCTTCCTGCAAGAGTTGCCCCCAGGTCGGACAGCTCTGACCCTGCTGAGCCCAGCACTCAATGGATAAATCAGGTTTCCAAAAGGAGACACACTGCGTCTTTGGAGAAGAAAATAAAATCTACTTCTAAAACACAGATAGGAATTAGGAAACCAAGTGTTTACCATAAAACTGTGCAAAGAGGTAGCACAAGTAAACTTTGCTTTGTTCGTGTTGGTTTTGCTTCGGAAAACCAGTATAAAACTAGATGGTGTTTTGCACGTTGCAGAGCACCCATGTATTGGATTTCCAGCAAGAGTTTTGGGGTTGTTCAAAGAGAGAAAATGAGGACTTATTTATCATGAAAATTGTAAAATCCCTGTCTTCCTTTTACTTGCTGATGTGACTGAGGAGAATATTCTGGGACAAAAGTACTGGCATTAAAAGCATAAAATAAAGCTCCCTCAATTTACAGCAAGGGTGAGTCTTTCAGAAGCACATAAGCAAACTCAGTGATTTTTTGTTCATAAATCACCGAGTGAGTCCGAAAATGTCATCAGTCATTTTCTTATGCCTCCCAATAAGGAAAAAGAAAGAAGGAAAAAAAGGAAGGGTAGAAGATTCAAATCCTATAGAGTTTTATAAATATATAGTCAATTATAAAACAGATTGAACAGTTCTGACTTAAAATATGTTTTAATCTATCAGTTAAAATAATTGCTTCAATTTTACACAAGTTTTTCTGGGAGCAGGTTTTGGGACTTAAAAGTATTCCTGAAGTTTCTAGGAATAAAATGGTATAGAAGACAAGGAAAAAACAATATCTGTATCAGGGCTGTCCTGGAAACCTTCTCAGACAGAGCAGACATGGCTCCTTTTCCTACGCTTGGTGCTGAGATAAAACAGTGTTAGCTGAAGTCAGCTGAGACAATAGAGGTTCCTCAACTTAACTATTCAGATCTGACCTAAAATCACAGTGCCCACTCAAAGAAGACAACAAAAGCAACAAGTTTAGCTCCAAGCTCAGTGTGGTACCAAGTGAGTATCCAAACTGCAGGTCTGTATCTCACAGAGGTGAAATTAAAAATAAGAGCTAAGTCCCATTTTAACAGTGGGTGTGAAATACCAGGCATCTCAAGAACATGTTATTTTAAATAATCTTCCTATCCTGTAACAAATATCTGTCCAATTTTAGTCCGAGTTCTGCCAGAGTGTAAGGACTGCATTGATTTCAAAGTTTTCTTATTGCCAGGGAAAAGGAGCAGATACACATCGAAATCCAAGTGTACAATGCAGTTTGTCACAAAATTGGGAATCCATCAGAAGCAGAATATGCTGCAAGGGAAATATCAGGTCCACTTGCTTTGATTTATATCGGGGTAAGTCCAGAGAGCGCCGAGTGGGGTTGTCCATTTGTCACTGTGACCGCACAGCCTGGCATCTTAAAAGCAGAGCTCCCTGCAAACAGAGCACTCCTTTGTGAAAAGTGACACTGACATTCAATCTAGGTTTATTTTCTGCAGGGGAAGGGGAGGGAGGATAGAACTGGTCCAGTTCCCTACACAAAGGTGGCTTGTACAAGTGCTCTGAACATCTGTCCTTCCCGAGGTCAGGGCAAGACCCACTCAGCTGACACACAGGGGTTTTGACAGCAGCAGTCACAAACTCTGGACATGCCACAGCACGGGCTGCCACATGCCAGCTGGGGGGATCAGAAAGGACACGCAGGAAACTTGGGATTATGGTGGTGGTTATGGCAAAAGCACAAATCTGTAGGAAATTAAACCTCGCAAAATCAGGGAACAACAAAACAGCTTCTTTTGCAGTTAAAAGATGCGGATGTTATGTTCTGAAGGGTTGAGTTATTAATGCTTTGGATGATCAGCACTGAAAAGTGCATAGATGGGAAGAACATGCTTTTTCTTTTGCATCAGCAAAATTGAAGCTGTAGATGCAAAAGGTTGCAAAGTCTGAAATTTCAGAACCCTGTTAGAGCTGGATGGGTTGGTTTCATCACCTTTTTTCTGTCAAGCTTTCTAGAATCCATTTCACTCCTTTTTAGACTTTATTTTTTTTCCTCAAAAAAAAGTAACCTCTCTTACAACTGAAAAAAAAAATGAGCTAGTGGAAATTATTTTCATTTCCCTATTCCAGATCATCACGGAATTTGCATGTGGCCAGACATGGCTGCATCTCCACCTACCCAGCAGTACTGACTTACTCTAGATTTCAGAAACAAATATGTTGGAAAAAACTTGGAAGAGTCTTTAACTAGAAAACAGCCAATCTTTTCAGGTACACCAACTTGCCTTATGGCTTGAATAGCTCAGTGGTGTTCTCCATGATCCTTGATGGATGAGGAGAGTTGAGGGGTTTCTTGGGGACTATTTCTCTGTGCTGGCAGCTCTGACTGCCCAGACAGCTCTCCCCATCCCCTTCACTCCTCCTCCAGTTTACCCTCAGCCTGATAGATGCTCTGTGGAATAAACACAGTCTATGGTTTTGTGATTTCATTTCCTAGACCAGAAAGCACCTTTCAGTCCTACCATGGATGAAGAAACAAAAAGACTGGGGGAAAGCAGTGAGAAAAAGATCATGCCAGTAATGGATTTTATAAGAAGCACCAGAATAAGTATGAGTATAAGGTTTCTTTCTGGTGTGTAGTGTGTGTGGTGGCAGAAGCCTCTGTGTGTGTGTGTGTGTGTGTGCGTGTGACCTGTGCTTTTTGGTGGGTACTTCATGCTTCATGTGCTCCTCCTGTGTCCAGAAATTGTGTTCCATGAATTCCATGAGGAGTTGAGTTCAAATGGGGTTTAGATACCTTTAAGAAGTAGTCCTAATTATTTAACAGTGTGCCCAGTTTATTTAAAATGACTTTATGTGCAATTTTCTCGAATCTTTATGGCCTATTATATTATATCCCTTCTTCACATAACCACCAAAACTACTGTTAACATTATTAATATTATTATTAATATGTATACTGTTTAATACCCATAGTATACTACACCTACCACAGGGTCTCCATTAAGAGTTAATAATTGCTACCCGAAACATTTCTAGTGGTTCAGATCCTGAACCCTATGCATTGAAGTATGTGAAATAACCTTCAAATCTGCTACAACCATATTAAAGGTATAGTAGTTAATTCTACTCCATACTTTCCACAGTAATGTACACAGCTTCTTAGCACCATGGCTGTTGATTAGCACAAAAGGTCAAAAATCAAATTTGCATGTAGACTAGACTGTTTTAATGCAATTCTTAAATTATTCCTCTGAAAATAGGAGGAAGAAGCCTCTTCTCCCCAGATTGTGAATGCTAATGTTAATGCTTTTTCCCCAGCAATAACCGGTTTGGAGTTTTCTGCACGTCGAAGGAATCAGAGCCATTTTCTCGTCAGGGGTGTCCTAGCAAATCACAGGATTTATATTCTTAGATAGGAGGTTGACAAAAACTGCTACTTAGCAACCCCTAGCAAGGAAGAAACATTAGCTAGATATTTGGGGAAGCTCTATCTCCTTTAGTCTCAGAGAGCAGCTGCTGAAACAACAGTAAGTGCCTGCACTCACATGTTTAGTGGGAGGTAAAGGTGCTTAGTACTTTTCCAAAATGGGTGCTCTCGAAGTGTCTGCATTGCTGGGAGGCAGGAGAAGCAGGCTGAGTTCAGACATCCCCAAGGGAACACAGCTGCTTCTCTCCAGTTCTTTCCTGAGGCCTTGTGCTGTTGGCTTTGGTTGACCAAAAGCCCAAGTTATTGATGAGCAGGCTGATAGAAGCGGCACCTTTGAGAAAGTGAAATATTTGTTCCTGCTGTGGGCATTGCACTTCAATGCACTACAAGAAGCTAGAGGTGCAAACAGGCAGTGGGTTGGGTAATGGATAAAGAATAAACCCCCAGTTTTTGCAAAAGCCCCAGTAAAACTGCAAATAAAAAAAAAAAATTGAGTCCACAATTCTCTCTTTGGGTATAACATAGAGCTTTTAGAGGTGAGATTCCTCTATCACAGTTATAGAGGCAGCAGCAAACTTGCCTTTTTTTTCAAGGAGGTCGGCACAGCATCCCTGTGGTTCAGGCCAGGGCCACCCCAGTGCCACCTCCAGCAACACCAAGAATGGGATAACATGGCTGAACCATGGTCCTACAGATTTATAACCAGCCCTGGGGGGTCAGTGTGGGAGCTTTAATGGAGAGGAGGGAAGCCCCCAGGTGGAAGGAGTTACCACTGAGTTATAACACCTACTAATTCCATATTCATTATCATTGACTTTCCCTTTAGTTTTCCTAGGATTACAAGATCCAAGCAAGACAGAACCTCTGACCCAAAGAGCAAATGACAATGCCAATTACATCTGATAATACAGACAGGCACAGAGCCAGAGCTGCTCTGCTACTGGGGATGAATATCTCTTTATGGTCCCAACAGATTTGGCAAATTTTGCTTCCTTGAAAGTATTCTGAAGTTTTCTTTAAGCTAGAAATACAACCCATCTTATTTCCATCACACACAAACAAAATTAAAAACTTCAGCTACAGACTTGATCTATACAACAGACTTTACAAAGATAAAAGAATATCTTTGGTTTTTAATAGAACCAACATTCCTTTCTGTCCTCTTTTTCGTTTGAAAATGCAAATTTGAAGATGCAAATTCTTGTCCTGATCAGATTTTTTTGACACAAACATTGCACTGCTAAAGTAGAGCTTATTAAGCCATGTCAACACTCAATACTTAAGTCAATTCCGTCACCTCAGTTTTGCAGCCACACAACCTAGAGTTAATTATGTGCTTTATGCACACACCACTGTCAGCAAGACGTGAAGTTTCATGTTAAAAAAAGCAGAGAATTTTCTCTTGCCCCCCCTTCTTCATAAAGAACAGCCAGTCCCATTTAAATCAAGGGGACATTTGTGTATTGTAAAACAAGAAGTATTTGAGAAAGAATGTCACAGTCTGGTCCCTGTGCAGCATCATCTGTGGCTGGTGGGGAAATGCCATAAACCTCCTCTACCCAGAAATACATACCATGGCACAAGGGTTATTTTATTTGCCCTAAAAAAATAGCTGTTGGCCAGACCTTCAACTACTCATATCCCAGCCAAGATTGCCAGCACTGGCAAGTGGTTATTCTATCAAAGTTATTTCACTGGGGTAATTTCTGCTGCTTTGTACACACCAAGTTTGCCTTTCTCCTGCTATAATCCCATGCTGATGGCACATGATGCTACTTTAAGAGGAGAAACAGTGGCCAGAGGGGCTTATTATACTGCTCATATTATAAAGGTGAACAAAACCTACCATATGATTCACAGCATGATGCTTATATTTACAGATCTCACTGTTTTGTTGTCTATTTTTTAAGTGGAGGGAAAGTGTTTATTTCACACGGATTTCAGCACACAGACTTTCTGAAGGATACCAAGGGCATTAAAGAAACATTATGATGGATTTTTTCCGCTTGTTACTGCAATACACTACAGAGCTGCTTGCAAGGCATAACTTCATTCACATTTTTGAGCTGAAAAATAGTGGCAAAGACTCCACAATAGAAAAGAAGAACTACTGGGGGCATTCCAGGCTTTTGCAAAGTGGTGCTCTTTAAGCTGAGAGCTAAACATGCCATGCATACTGGATATGATAGATTCTGCTTAAAATCCAGGCTGACCAACCTCTTTGCTTTTCTTTTTCTTCAGCACTCAGCAATTTAGCTTTATTTATAAATAGAAGTGGCAGAAGGGATGACTCCTTTCTTGCGTACAGAGAAAAGCAAAAGGTGGGGGTATCGTGCCGAAATTCTCAATACATGAAAGGACAAATGATTCACTCCTCTCACATGCTCTCCAGCTCCTTTTTGCAGTGAAATCCTGTCCCAGCTTTGCTCTGGTTGTTAGTGCTGGGTATTTAGAAATAGCAGGTAAGCTCCCTCCAGAACTGACTGATCTGCTTTGTGTGGGTGCTCTTTCATCCCAAGGTCAGAGGAAGGAGAATGTCACAGGGCTGATCCTCGGGCGTCAGGACCTTATTTCTCTCCCAGCAGGAAGGTCTTCAAAGATGCCTCTGGGAATAAACACCCTTTTTGCTTTTAGTTTAAAGGGAATTTGTACAGCAAAAAGTTTTCTAGGGAATGCTCCCACTTGGGAGGACCCCTGCCTCAGACAAGGCTGCCCTTTATGAATTAATTCCTCAAGAGATAGTCCATCAATTGCTCATTTTTACTTTTTCCTTTAAATTCTTCTTGGCATAGCAGACAATAGGGGCGAGACCCACCCAGAAAGTAACAGCATCATAATTTAGTCGTTTATTATCTGAATATGTTACTGCATTTCTAACCAGGATACAACTGTGACTCCATAAAACTGCATTTGTTGATTCCTTTGCTACCTGATTCTTTTCCACGGGAGTCTCTGTTTAAGTTTGCTATTTGCTTAACCTTCACTGTGCCTACCTGAGCTGATTTCATCTTCATCTGATTGCCTAGTCACTTTATTATGTTTTTTACTGCAGCTTAGTAGCCCCTTGAATTCTGCTATAGTTCATGTAATTCTCATCATGTGGATCAGCTCCCTGTGGAATTTTTTTCTCCTGCCAGCAGCAGTTATTTACTTCCTCTTTCTGCATTTCTCATTGTCACTGAAACACCACCTCTGACAATGTTCAACCCCCTCTAATCCCTTCATAAAAAAAACTGGGTTTGGTTATTTATTTACTTCCAACCTACTCTAAACTCAAACAGCATTGCTGTGTCCACAGAGTGTGTGTTGTCTCAGATGTCCAATTTGTTTCCCATAGCTACGTGGCCTGCTCTCATAGTTTTCGGAAGAGTCAAGCAGAGAAAGAATTGTTTTCTTTTTAGCCTTTGCTTTCTTAATCACTGGAGAAGCCCCCAACAGACACAGCATGATGAGAGAGGATTGTTACCTGCTTCCTTAGCTGATGACTCAACGTACTCATTTCTTAGTGCTCGCACAAAAAGGGTTTGGGCGGATTTCAAGAATAGCAGGGAAAAAACCATTTGCTGCATCTCAAATGTTGTGAGACTATTTCATGTTGATAAGAGCTCTCTTTCTCATTAACTGATTGCTTCTCCCTATTTTAAATCACACAGCTCTACCTGGGGACACAGCTAGCTGGCTTTCAGACACAGGAGATCAGGTAGAGACTGAGCTCTGTTTTGTTCCTTGCTTTAGCACTGCTCTAACTAGACTGGGTCAGACTTACAATTTCACATATCAGAGAGCACAGAAATCTTCTTTCTTGCTGATATCTCCTACTAATACTAGGTCAGGTCCTCAGAAACTGACTCCTCAAGTGATAAAAATAGTTTGTAAGAAAGTTATCCTGGTCTGCTCTTAGAGATGGGTCAACAGAAGTTCATCAGAAGACGAGTCTGGAAGGACTCTCCTGGCTCCTAAAGTCAAATCACCTGCTATTATACACCTTTGTGTCACCAAATATCTTATTCATAAATTGAGTAAAATTCATCTTAGAACTACTTAGGCTTTCTGTCTTTTCTGGTCTGGGTGAAACACACTGCAGACCTTCAACCTGAATTATCAGAAGCTTAATTGCCCCCTCAGTCTTATTTGTACCTATTTATACACAATGGTCCTTCTGCTATCATTGTCTTTTATCTCTCCTTCCCTTTTCAGTCGTTTGCTCTCTTTGGAATTTAGCCCTGCATTATGTTTATTGAGAAGAATAATAAGCTCTTGGCATTTTCATTAATAGACTAATCAAAGCACACTTCCCTCAAAAGAGGTATCTCCTACCGTGCTAGCTTCTCTGCTCCATGATGCTTGGGTTTAAATTAACCTCTCCAAACACAGCTGATTGGAGCTATCTGCAATACTCAGAGAATTGCTGACCAGAGCTCCTTTTCCCTGTGCAGTGCCTGATTCTCTCCTTCAGCTAATGGAAATACCAGTTCATTGGCTCAGCTCTTTCTTTTCCAGTTGCTCTCATTTCTGGAACTCCCAGACTACAGCTCCATTCCTGCCATTGGTCTCCAGCACACAGTCTTTAATTTCATACTATTTTATCATTGTCTCAGGTATTATATTAAAAGGGGTAAAATTAACTGTATCAGGATTATTTGTAGGTTTCTAGAGTTAAAGAAAACTGAGGTGTTTTTTCCACAATTATTCCTGTAAGAGGTTTAGAAAGCAAGATCAGAGCTGTTACTAAATTCTTAGACTTGATGAAAGAACCACTGTCTTAGTCATTTTGATAACACTTGATGCTTGCCTAGTGAAAACTTCTGCAAAACCAAGATCAAGATCAAACCAAATGATCAAGATTCTTTGTGAACAGAAGTTCAATTTAAAAACAGGACACCATTTATTGAACAATAAATGTCATTTCAAACTTCCCTTTCACTCTCATTCCAAACTTTCCTTTCACTCTCTTCAATATACACTTGGACCTAGAATCACCTACCTGAAGTGCATGGAAATGGCAGCATCAGGGTGCCACCATATGGAACTGCCAGAACAAAGGTCTGCTAAAAATACTGGAAGTGGTTTTGAAAATTGATGCCAATTCTTGGAATTTCAGGCACTTAAGTGCATTCAAAACCCTGATTAGATGAATGGAAATCTCACTCTGAAGGGCTGAGCATTCAGATATGCAATGGCTCCATCTCGTCGGGAATCTAGGCCAAATTGCTTTTGAAAATCTCAGTAGGGTGCTTATTTGCATTTTTGGCATCAGAATACTTCTGAAAATATGGTGGCAAGGCTGCCATCCATCAAACACTTCAGCAGGTGCTGAGATTTTATGCAAGCACTTGGCTGAGTTTCTGTATTCACACACTTAAAATTTACCATGTGCCTGGCTGCCTGGAGGATCAGAGACCACCTCTGCAGGTTTTAGTCCCTCAAGGTTATATATTTGAAAACTCTAGATTTGCCTAGTCTGCAAACAAACCATAAGCTGACACGCTGCGTGCTTTCCTCAACCTCTTCACTGAAACTTTAGAAGCAATCCATAAAAGTCAGGAAATATCTAATAGAGGGGATTATGGGAAAGCCATTTCCAAATGAGAAAATTGCATTTGAGTTTGTTATCTGCTGTCCCCCTTCACATATGTTATGACTGCATATTTATTTTTCTAGTAGTGCTAGTGACAGTGTGGCAAGAAAGTCTTTTTTTTTTAACCCTCTCTAAAGATTGTCAGCAACATCATCTTAAAATTGCTGGGTGCCATATTGCTCAAAGCATTACCAGCACAAACCTATAGGTTGACAAGCCTTAAGGTATAGGGCTTATAGGATAAGGGATTTTTTCTGTGACTCTCCTCTAATCCACTTGCTTTTGCTGGGGAAACGGGACAAGCACAGACCATGTCCAAGTGTGATGGAGAGGTTTCATTACATGATTCTCCTTGGCTGCTTGCAGAGAGTGGAGGAACAGTCCCAAGTGATGAATCAAGTGATGGCTGAGCTGGCCACCCTTCCCTACCTACAGGAAGTCTCTTGGGAGGGTGCCAAACTGGTCAATTTTTATTTCTAGCACTTATTTTGGCCTTTAGAAGAAGGAAGCCAGGGAGGGAAGGGCAGGGGCAGAGCTTTGCACTGCAATTTGCTCTGGAAGTCATTTTTCCAATGTGTGGACCTGAAGTAGTTTTTAAATCCTCCTTCAGTGCTTTGTCAGAGGAGGTGCTGATCACCTGCAAGGATGACTTTTATAGAACCAGCATGACTCATCTGTGGGCATATTTTTAAAACCTCTTCTTTTCCCCCAAACCTCCCCAAATCAGTCTGGGAAAATGGTTGCAATTATTCAGATCATGCTACTTTAAGTTATCTAACATCAGAAGCCACCTGCGGCAAAACAGGCCGAATCTAGTTACAGCTGAGGGAAAGGAGAGAAAAGGTTTTCTTTCCTGCTTCCATCCACAACTTGCTCCCTGTCTCTGAATAACCCTGTCTGCCTGCTATGCTTTGTTTTTCCCTTTGTGAAAGGAGGGCAGTGATGCCAGTCATTAATAACCTGATAGTACATCAATAAGCTGCAATCAGAAAGCACCGTATGATTATTCTTCCTCGAGGCTGTCAGGCTTTATGATGAGGGAAGAAGGGAGCTCAGGTAGATGCAAATTTTAAGCATTTCATTCTAGGAAAAAAAAAAATAAAAGTCCCTCCACAGTCCCTGCATTTAAATGCGGTCCAATTTTGATGATCCAACTAAAAACTCTTGGTTTTCCCAAAGCAGGTCCCTTGCCATTTGTTTGCAGTCCTGCAAAGCTCCTAAGCTCTGCAGAATTAAAGCTTCACAGCAGCTTGCTTTAGGGAAGAGGAGCAGCAGCCTGCAACTGCAGGAGGTGGTTGCCAGACTTTGAAGTCTGGGCTCGAGATAAGGGGAAACGACATTGCAAAGAAACTGTGTTATTAAAAGACATTCTCCTTTTGATGCAAGTTCTCCAGTATTAAACTTCAGCAGGCCCACATTTCAAGGCTGACTAAAGGGTCTTGAGTTATTGGTACATATTTCAGTGATAGGTTTTTCTCCAGGGCACAATATTTTCAGTACATCACACGTTCAGCAGAGGCTCTTACTCTCTTGTCTGTATCCTGTCATGTAGTAATCATAAGCCTGACCTCCCTGGAAAGCTTTCTGGGGAGGCTTTAGACCACCCAAGACATAGGTCTTCAGTCTCTTAAGGGTATGACTGGGCAGAACAAGAGTCTGTGCTGAGAGATTTAAGTGACAGACTTTAAATCTTTCAACGAAACACGCATTGTTTGTTTACTGAGCCCAAGGTAAAAATGTTTTTTAAAAGAATAAAGACAGAAAATCTCTACCAGCTACACCGCATTAATTCAGAATTCATTTATTTTTCTTTGTTCTGCCATCCTGCTGTAAAATATATCTTTATTTTCTCTGTGCAAATGGAGGCTCGGTTGCTTTTTAACTGGAACATTTTAGTAAACTTAAAGCACCACAGTGTTGAGGCACAAGACTGCAGGCAAGAACTTGCAGAGTAACTTCACCAGGGAGTGATTAATGGGCTTTATCTTTCCTGGTGACACCAGCCCACATGGCACAGGCTTTTCCTATGCCAGTAGGGATCGGTTCCCTACCACATCCCAACGTCATCAGGCACAGAACATCACTGCCCATCGTTGGGTCTGCACACCTGAATCACCCAGGGAGTGAGAGATTCTCACTTCAGCCCACCTGTCATCCTCCTCATTTCACTGGGGTCTAGGCAGGATTAAATGTTTGGAGGACTGGGCTGTACTGGTGTGAATCAGCACCTCTCAATGACTGCTACATGTCCATGGGGTCAGAATCACAGCACCCACGCTGACCCCATGTGCTTCTTACTCTTCACCAACATTTTGGAGATCTAAATTTTTCCCTCGAAAAAAACTGAGCTGGCCAAATTCTAATCTCTCTTGGACTAATAAAAATTTAAACTAATTCCTCTGAGGTCATTCAGACTTTACACTGGTAAAACTGAGATAAGACTTTATGACCAAACAAGGCAGTTAAATTGTGGGAGTTAGAAAAGGGTAAAGATGCCAAATGTTTGCCATCACATACAGAATAAGTTGTATAAATTTTAAAACATGCTGAATTTATAATAGTGCAATTCTCCAGGATCCCAAAGGCATTTCAGTTATAAACTCTTCTGTGTAAATGTCTTCCTGTAACTAAATAAATAGAGTCCTAATATATGGCACAAAGAACCTCAACTGAGGCCTTTTTAGGTCAGTATTTATTCACAGATCCTGGGAAAATGAAGATTCTCTGGTTTCAGTTAGCTTAAACAGTTGAATGCAACTGGAGAAAAAAACCCAAAGAAAATCTTTCCAAGGTTTATGACTTCAATGTCACCACATTTGTACATCATAAATCAAGATGAAAGGTTGTTAAAAAAAGAAAAAGAATCTATTTTCATTTAAAATCAAAAAAGGACAAGTTTGTTTGTTTGTTTAAAGCAATATTTCTCTTGGGGGGGGATCTTCCAAAAAATGTCAGTTTTAGGAGAATTATTGTGGTTTGCCAACTGCCTGCTCTTGTAGGGGCATGGTTTATCTTCCAAAAGAGCTGGTGAAAAACTTTGGATGATAAAAATTAAAACCAGAGCACACACTGGTCACTTTTTACTGGCATGTATCAATATTAATGAAACCTTAATCGTAAAGATTTCTTGTTTTATCTTCTTGCCCAAAGCAGTGAAATCTGCAGCCTGGTTGGGCTGCCAGAGCAGCCCCTTATGGGTGACAGACCAATGTCCTGGTCCCTGCCCCAGTGGGTGCCCTTTAACCAGTTCTTCAGAGAGAATTACTCCATGAAAAACAATGGAAACATCCTCTCCTTTCCCTGACCAGCTCCTCCACTGCCAGGTTTGATGCAGAACTTGTGTTTTGCCCATTCTGCCCTTAATACCCTTAATCTCTGGGCTGTGTCTGTTCTGGATTCATAGAAGGAGATTATATGTCTTAAAAGTATTGTGATGGAAAATTTCTGACATGTTACCTCTTTTCCCATTGAAGCCAGAGGCAGGAATTTGCAGTTTTGTTTTTCATGAATGCTGATACATGACTTAAAAACACCAAAAGTTTTTATCAAGTGTTTGGACCAATAATATCCAACTTAATGTCTGCACAAGCACAGAGAAAGCAGACTGTGACTGAGCACAGCAAATTTCTTTAGCGAGTCAAAAGAAGATTCCCGCATCCTTTATCCAGAGTTGGGATACAGACAAATAATTTTAACTTCAAATATCTGAGTGCACAGCATAATTTGAGGAAAAGCAGATCTGCTTGTTCAATCTCAAGGTAGAATTTTGTACCTTGTGCAGTGAGCCTAAATGCTGATGTTTTAAGCTTCATCACCTATGTACTCATATTAGACTGCTGCCCATCTAGGTACAGATGGAAGAGACAAATTCTCAAGGGAAGAGACAATTTCTCCATGAGTTCTAATGCTTATATTGCCCAATTCCTTGTGATGAGTAACATATTTGGGAAGAGACCCCAAAACCTATTGTTTGGGTTCACTTTAACCAACTAAACATTTTGGAATAGACCTACTAGAGCACAGCAATATCACAGGTACTAAATACCAGTCTCTCCCAGTTTGTCCCTAAACACCAATGTTAATGGCTGCTCAAGAATCTGACCTTTGTGTCTCTCTTACTGAACTAAGAGCAACTGAAAAATTTCCAAGCTTTTGGAAGGGGTGCAGGGTGAGGCAATGCTATGACTAACCTGGAAGGGTACTGGAGTGAGACAATGCTACAGCTATCCGGAATTTTAGCTTCCCCTCTCACACTAAGGACTGATTAGCAAGTATTTTCCCTCAGCTTCTTTTTATAGTTTACACTAGAAATTGTCAGCCTTGGGTTTATGCTCTGTTATGCTGAATGATGGGGAGAAGGAAGGGTTTGCCAAAGGAAAAGGGTAGTAAAAGCAAGGAAAATGAGCTAGATACTTCCAGCTACAGTAAAAGCATCTCAGCTTTAGTGTCGTCCTCTTGTGAGGTTTTACATGCTGCTTTAAATGATGATACATTAGCCTTGGGAGAAAATACTAAAAAGCATTCATGTACGACACAGAATAGCTCAGACAGCTGAAGAATAAAATATGGAGCCTTTATTCTTTACAACCCGAGCCCTCCTTTACTAAATATAAACATTGACTGCATTAAAATGTATAGACTGAAGTACAAATTTTCCAGAGGATTTTTTCCCATTGTGAAGTGTTTTATACCCACAATAATAACAGTGTAATGGCTGAAGCGAAGATGAGGTGGCAGTGCTCATTGTGTGAAAGATGAGTAATAAAATCATCAGCGTACAAATGATTTTTTAATTAGGTTTTAATCTGTGTATTTAGAGAAGTTATTTCTGTGTGAATACCACACTGATAATTTTTATCTCGGTGCCACAGCTGCAGTCACTAATGGCTGATGCCATGGACATCCTTGAAGGAAAAAGTGAAGAAGATTGTGTGTGGACTAAAATTCAGAAGGTAAAAACCTGCAGCAAAGGGCATGAGGGTATATCATTCCTTGGAGAGTAACTTCCACCTGAGTCATATCTGTTTGAAAGGCAGAAAGAAAGTAGGTGCCATTTGAAACTTGACCACAGGCCTTGAACCTTGTTAGTGCTCAGGCACTAACCACAAATACATATTTATTATTTGATTTAGCCCTTATGGTTGAACTTTGTCCATTTAACAGTCTCATGGGGTTGTTTAACACATAAAAAAAAAAAGGAGAAAAACCAACCTGAGTAGCTTCTTTTTTGCTGATAATTAGAATTCTCTTCCATCTTTGCAGTACTGTGCTAATTGGATGTGGGGGGGGAAGTTGTTAGGGAATAAAATTCAGCCCTACAAATTAGGTCTGTTAGTGGAGCTCAAATGAGGCTTTGGTGATGTGAGAGGTAAAAGACATGTAAATGCCTTTCTGGAGTCTCTGCACAGCAACCGGTCAATTTAATTCTGAAAGGATTTGTGAAATGCAGGAGTCTTGCATTGGTTCTCTGTACAGATGAATCTGACCCGACAGAATGAATAATAGGTCAGGCTGGGATGTAATAGGAGCATCTTACATTTTCACAAAGTCTTTCAAAGCAGAGCAAATCACAGCTCTGGGCATTCACCACCATTGACTTTCAGCCACTCGTGAGGAAAAGGACGTGAGCAACGCGTCACCGGGAAGGGAAAATGTTATTAATGGTTCTTACAGCTCCACCAGATCCCAGAGGGATGCACACTCGCCCTGGATTGTGGATACGATGGGAGGAGGGTTTGAATTTCTGCACTGGCAGGACTTGAAATTGTCCTTCTTTGGAATTGGGGGTTTACAGACAGATTTCAGGTAAGATACTGAAAACACCAAACCCTGCCTGCACTGAGTCAGTGTACCCAGAGTAGGCAAATAAGGTACTGATGCCTAAAAGAAACCACAGGGGTGGAGGGTTGAGGGATTTCAAGGTGATTATATTTGGTATATTTCTAAGTTATTTCAATTAAAATTTCAGAAAGTATCTATCTCTTCTGAGAGAAAGTCTGAGTAGGTGTGTATTGCCTCACTTAGCTGTCAGATCAGTGGCTTTTAATAAAGTTTTCCAAGAACAGAATGTTTTCAGAAAGTAATCAAATCCTAAATGCCCCAAATTATAGATAGACTGGGTCTCATCTCTTTCAAATGCTCATGAAGCAAAACAAAGGATAAATATTCCTACCTTTCTGACATTGCACCCGGATAGTCTCTAAATCTCTCACACCTGCCTACAGATCAGAGGATAATCTTTTGCAACACAAATTCTATATATGATATTAATTATATATATTTATACAATTACAGACATTTTTCCTGCCATATATAATAAACACTGATAACTAGATGAATGCAAATGATAGATCTACAAATAGCCTGTTCCCTGTACTTCTCTAGTTCTTAGCCTTCCCATTTTCACACAGTAGACTTAAATGTCAAAGACGGTATTTCAAAGTTTTTCCAAAACTCAGGATTTTAATCAACTGCCAGGTGTTTGAATAACCAGCCCAATTTTCACAACCGTGAATGATCACAGGTCAGAAGCTGCTGAGAGTGGGTTGTGGTTGCATCCAAGGACACAGATATTTACATATTTATTAATAAATCCTTAAAATTTTGCTTATTCCCACATATTTCAATAGGAAGTGGCCAATATTTCATTGTAAATTCAGTAAAAAAAGTATTTTCTTTGGTGTGTTTGTCTATGGGTACCTACGTCCTTCATATTTCTCTGGATACTTTTACTTTCAGTATAATTTTAACAGAAATCAAATTAGCACCTAAAAACAGACTGGTATCCCATATTATGCCACGTGAATCTGTGCATACGTCAATATTTGGGAGCAAAATTTACTGAATCCACTAAAATCTGCTCTCTTCCATTGTAAAATTTGGTGCTTCAAAATTTGTTTGCATTCTGAACATATGTTTGCATTTAATTTTTGACAACTCGGAGAACTATTTGAATTGAGGCACCTTGTTCCAAGAAGAACTCAATGTGTGTCTTCGTAATACAAAAATATTTTTCTGGTTTGTATCAAAATAAAGAAATTAAAAGCATCATCAACTTCACTTTTTTTAAAAATACATTTCAGCATATTCTGCATGTTCTTAGGGAAAATTTCAGTTTAAGTAGAAGAGACAGGAGAACGCTCAGGGAGCTTGGGGGAGTGAGGTTTGTTGGATTTTTTTCGTGGTTTGTGGTTGTTTTCTAAATCAACTCTAATCAGAATATTACACTAGGTTAAAGATTCTAACACATTACTAAGAAGGAGGATTAAATCTGATTATTAAAAATTGATGTGGTGTGGATTAACACATCACTTGTGCTGGAACCATTTCCAAAAGTTCAGTATTTCTCAGTTCGCTCATCACATGACACTGATTGTAGGACAAAGAACCTCCACATACATCTAGTTACAAGACAGTTATTTGTATTTTTGCTATTGAATTAACTTAAATATATTGGAAAGCAAAAAAGAACATAAAGGAATTTATACAAACAGCTATAAATGCAGAACTCTGGAAAGCTGACAGCTATGCTCCCACCAGTGAAGTCTGGCTTTTGCAATAGAAACAGCTGTTGCACCTAATGAAAGCACTCAACATTTTTCTCTAATGCAGCAGAGTTATAGGAGTGCCTGTTTTCCAAATGGTTAAAGGGTCTGTCAGAATTGCCATTACAAACCACTGTTTTCAGAGTTTTATATTCCAGAGTCAGCCATAAAAAATTCATTCAGGCTGAAATCTGACATCAAAGGGCACAAAGCCTGAGACCCAAATGCTTTTCCTGTTGTCACATTGGAGGGTTTATCAAATCAGTTTGAAATTAATTTGGACAATTTTGAATTTGCAGGACTGACAAAGTGTGTAGCTTCATATGTGTTTAGCTTCAAGTGTTTTGGGTGCTGTGCCTCTCATCCAATTCACTGACAGATTTATGTTTTTAAGCCAACTAATTGGGCTAATTATTTTTGGAAGCTTAAACACAAAGAAATGAAAAATGATCTCATAATTAGCTGGAGACAAGAGAACATCACTGCACAGAAGATGCCTTTCTTGGTATTACTGGGCTATGACTGCAGCCACAAGGAGAGCTGACCCAGGAAAGCTTAGACTACCTTGGGAGATTAAGATACATCCTCCTACAAAGCCTTTACCATGTACTAGATATCCCTGAAGAATGCCTGAGGCAGGAAAAATAGGTTGGGCCAGTCTCCCAAAATCCCTGTTCTTCAGGATTTTACCAACAGTTGTGCTTGCAGTCCACTGGATAAAATTTGATCTTCCTATTAGAAATTTGGGGAAAGAAACACCCTCAGAACTTTCCAGCAATTAACAGAGGGACTGACACCCAGGCTACTTCAGGACGATGGGTGGTCCTAAAAAAATTTTACCACCATCCTTCTTTTTATAGTTGTCAGAAATTCCCAAACTGAACTTGCTGGTGGCCAGACCAGTGGGCTTACAGAGGGTTTGAGGTGCCTTACTGGGGCTTGGGAATTCTTTTTTTTAGTTACTGACTCTGTCCAAATTGTGTTAGAGGTTGAGTCTTGAAGGTACATAAATGCCACACCATCAGCATTGCATGAGAATGGGCTTCTCTAAAGCTCCCCTTATGCATAGCATCTGAAGTAGCTAACGGGAGACTTTAAAGGAAAGAGAACCAAATCCACTCTTCAAACGGGGCTTTAAGTCTTCATCAGTCACAGAGGCAGAAATGTGGTTTTACTTACTGGATTTTAAAGTGTAAATTCTCTTCTTAATAAACTCAAATGTAATTTGAATTACCTTAACAAGTGTGATTTAGCCCAGTGGTTTAAGCAATCTCTGATCTCTGATGCACAGGGCTCAGCATCAATGAACTGGAGACTTCCAAGAGATATTGGGGGGAACTGGGATGATAATTCAGCTCAATCCCACAAATATCAGTCCAGGCACTGAGTCTTAAGCACGTGGGGACACTCTCCTAATAGCCAGATCTGGGTGTTATTGATGAGCTTCTTTGCTGACAGAGTTACACGTGATGTAGGTGACACCTGCCATGCACATCAGTGCTGGGACTGGTGGAAAAGCTCAGCCCTGAGTAACTCAAGGAATCCATTGCAGGACTTTACAGCAGCTACAGAAGAGCAGAGGGGATAAGAATGTCTCAGATACAGCAGGAAGGCCCCCCCTTTCCTCTGCAGAGCCTTTGCTTCTCTGCAGCCTTGTAAGACAAAAAAAAATAAAGAAATAAAAGAGATTACTTTTCTATCTCATAACAATAAATTCATTAATAAATCCTCCCAATATTGTTACAGTGAGAGGCATTTCATTAAATAAATAGATACTTTAGAGCCTATCAACCAGAAACTTTTGACATCCAAAGAGAGAAGAGCTGTGTAAGTTCAAGTGCCCCAATGGCTCTGCTTCCCCTACGAAGATAATAATGCAGCTCTACTTCTCTCCTCCATTTAGCCCCTAGGCTTTCGTAGCAGTTTCACAGGATCCTCTTAACATCATTTGAACAGCCAAAGGAGAGACAGGAGTTGGCAAATAAACACTTTCCTCCACTTCCACATGTGAGACACTTCATAAAACCTTCACAACTGAGTTTACCTCAAGGGCATCACATACTTTGCAATTTAGATAAGTTATTATGCCCATCGTTTGCTGAGCTCAGTGGAATGCCTGTTTCATAAATCTGAAAGCAGAGCAAACATGGATGAGTGAATAAAAGAACAGATGTAACTTACATAAGGATAAGTATATAACAAAAGCTGCACTAATATATGTGAATATGAAATGAGGTAAAATTAGCCTAACATATTATATAATGTTTTAACCAGGCACGTAGATTTTCAGCAGTTGACCTCTGCTTACTATGCTTCTGCCTTCTGCAGCAGCAGGGGAACACTATCTGATAAACTGTGCTGTTCCACTCACATTATCTCTTAATTGAAAGTCAAACCATGGAAAAGGGCCACGGACTTGCTGGGCTTTCGGTCAGCTGGAGAAGCAAGGAGGGAGATTCATGGTATGTTGATGGAAAGTGGACGTGTTGCTGAATAGTTTGTGCTGGCTACCAGGACAGTGATTTGATGGATATGACTTTGTAACATCTTATAAAGTCATCCAAGCCCACGCCACAGCCACTGAGAACTGTGCTTGTTCTCAGAACACGCAGGCTTCAAAAGTCATGTTTTATCACACTTTCTTGGCTCAAACTTGGCTATTCCTAAACTACAGAAGGAAACTGGGTCCTGGTTTGTTCTCTTCTTGGGGCTGTGATGCAGCCAGGTGTTTCATGAATGCATGGACCTGTTGTGAAAGGGGAAAGCAAAGGATGGGAAAGAGTAGGAAAAGCCTTTCCTGAAACAGGAGTGGAAGTCTAATGTGTAATGTCTAATGTGCAATGAAGTCAGAAAAGTGCAAATGCAAAAGGAAAATAATGTTAGTGGCACTGATTCAGGTAGACAGAGTGAAGGAAACCAAAGAGCAGAGCAACCAGGTAGAAATGTAAAAATTTTTAT